TGAAGCGTAATTATGTTGGCGTTAATTATGTAGCTTTTATGCTTTTAAATTTATATTAAATTATATATGTAGGTATATCTTCAACACTGTGTGAATAGATACGAGTAAATAAATATTTTAATTTTCTGTTTAATGCGAACACAAAACAAATTTTGTTTGAGTTCTTGACAGAATTTAATTTGAGTGCAGAGAAAATAATTTTGGGTTTAATAAATTGTAATTGTAAATAACATATCAGAAATGATCTTACAAACAAATAGACACCAAAAAGTGAAAGTAAATATCCTGGCTCGAAAAGTGTGTTTGTTTTACTTGTACATATCTCCGGATACTATCGTAAGTTAACAAATTCACAAGAACGCTTTTGTTGACAAACTCATGACAACTTGACAATTGTTATTAATGATTCAATCAGATACAATAAACAATAAACAATAAGTAAGAAAACCGAAAAATCAACATATCAAACACAAATAAATTAAAACAATAATAATAAAACACTTAAATGTCAGTCAGTGAAACAGTTGACATAGACTTAAATAAATAATTCTTGATTTATGTACAGAACATGAGCATTTAATCGTTGTATTTGAACGATTTTGGGTGAATGTGAAAGAAATTTTGAAATTTTAGTATTCAAAATAAAAGGAAATTAAACTGAGAATGTAATTCTTATATTTAATAAATATTTTATAAAGATAAATTATTTTAATTAAACTTAATCTTAGTTTTATGATATATTCTCTATTAATTATGTGGTCTTTAAAGATTTTAAGTGCAGATTATATTACTACAAGACAAACATACTCGTATATTATTAAATTATATAATATATAAAAGGGTTCGAACAGTAATGAAAAAGCAAACAACTAAAATTATATTACGTTATTAAAATTCGGCTGACCATACAACGCTGTTTCGAGTATTGCCAAGTACTGATCATCACTGAGCTTAGGAAATATTCGAATTTTAATTATAATTAAATAAAGGCATGTGTCTCGAAGACCTTAAGAACATACTCCAACACCCCTTATTAAAGTTGCTTACATTGCTCAAACAAATGGGGCGAGCAAAATAGGCCACTTGAGTTTATTGGGTTTTAGCACAATAGAATATCTGAGACGCGATGTATGATATTCATTAAATTCCGACTGGCGTTGAGAAATGGATTTACTACGATAGTCCTAAACATCATAATTTTATCCAAGCGACCCATCTTTATCTACAGCAAAACGAAATATTCACGGAAGTAAGGTAATGTTGTGCATTTGGTGGGACCAAAAAGGCGTGGTGCTCAATAATCTGCTAAAACCGAACGATACTTTAATTGCTTAACATTATCAACTATTATTGATAAATTTAGACGATGGATTGAAAGAAAAACGTCAGATTCAAGCCAACAAACAAACCAAAAAAAAATTTGCTGCCGAACAATGTAAGACAAGTAAAAAATGGGAAGCACTTTAAGGGGAAACTCTACTAGAGGGTTTCTATTCATTAGATTGTGCTCCACCAGATTCTAATTTATTCCTATTAATTAAAAGCGTTTTTAAAGATTAGCAGCAACCACGAAGAAATCCAAGAAGAGGTGTGTTTGTACTTGAGGACTTGGTACGGGGACCCACTCGTAAATGTTCGAACACCATATGCTGTTCGAGCATTTGGTATCGTAATATATACTACTATTAACATATACATTGAGTACATAAGACTTTCAAATCGCTCAAATATCTCCGAACAGCTCGTACTTCTTAGAATATATGAAGTACTCGTTTCAAACATTTAAACTTGAGTAAATTCGAAATGTGCCCGAATACTTCATAATATTAGCGTACATTATGAAAAATGTTTTTCAGTATTATATGAGTATAAATTCTAAGGTGCGATATTTATACTCTTCATGGTCTCTGGAAGGAAAAGTTTTAAAAATTCATACATAAAAAAATGCATTTTTTTGTATTATGTGAATATATAGTGACGAATAAGACAATAACTGACATAACTTTAGCAACATTTTTATATAAAAGCAATTATTTAACTATAGTTATATATATACATTCTTAAAATTTATTAAAATCTTGACATTTTTAGGAATCTATATACTCTTCTTCTTAAAATTTCTAAACATTAAACGGTTTTAAGCGTAAGAATGTTTATTGCGGACATGCAAAACTGTTTTGCCTGTGAAGTGTGGGTATACATTGTGACCGAAAAGTTTTCGGGAAATTTTAAATAAAACGCAAAATTCTTAACCTTCATCAATATTT